ACGTAGTGTGAATATCTGATCTATACAACCACGTCCAGGTCGAAAACCAGCCTGGTTTTCTCTAGTCTGCTCTTCACGAGCTTTAGTTAGGCGTCGAAGTATTATTGAGGCCAATATTTTAGACACTATATTAGTCAAACTGATTCCTCTGTGATTGTCACAAGAGGACTTTTGTCCTTTCTTATGGACTGGCACAATCAGTGATTGAGACCAGTCAGATGGGATTACGTCCAGTTCCCAAATTCTACCTAAGACCTCAGTTAATCTTGCTGCTAATACTGGACCACCATCCTTAAAAATCTCAGGAGTAAACCTGTCAGGGCCTGCTGCTCTCCCTCTTTTCAGATTTCCTATGGCTTTTTCAACTTCGTAAACGGACGGAGGACTTACATTAACTTGCCATTCAGGTTGACTGGAGATCGTGGGAAACCGAAGTGTGGCTGAAGGCCAGTTGAACTGATCCCTAAAGTGTTCTGCCCATCGATCCAATCTCCTGGATTGAGAATGAATAATATGTCCATCTTTCTCTGAGATTGTTTCGCTAACGGTCGGGTTCCTAATTCCGGTTTCCTTAACGAGTCTGAAAAATTGTCTGCTATTACCTATTGTCGCTTCCTTTTCCATCTCTCTTGCTTTCGCTACCCACCACTGTTCACGATCATTGCGTAGACTTCTTGTCAGCTTGCGCTTAAGCTGAATCCGCTCTTCATTATGTTCAGAGCCAGGTGGAATGAGTTTCCGAGCATCTATCAGTGCGATAGATGCTGCTGAGATCCAGTGTTGCTCCCTAACTTTACGGTTTACCTTACTAGCAGATATCACTGCTGTTTCCACAGCTTTTCGGAAATCGTTCCATGCTGCCTCGGGGTGGGCATCACATACATGGCTGCCTAACTGTTTTCCTAGTTGTTCCTGAAATATATTCTTAGCTTGACTATCATTAAGTAGGGCCCTAAGAGGTTTCCTTGCAGGATCTTTCCTACGTCCAGTAAGACGCAAGCAAATACGCGCTCGCACTAGAGCATGATCTGAATCTAGGCATGTGCTCCAGAATGAGCGACAGTCTTCTATCGAGCCCCTCCATCGGTGGCTGATAGCGATGTGATCTATTTGGGTCCAACGTTGGGACGAATTAGGGGGTCGCCATGTTAAAAGATGTTTTTCCTTATGCTTAAAGTTAGTATTTACAAGGAACAGGCGGTTATCTGAGCATAGCTGCAACAGACGGTCGCCATTATCTGTTCTTTGAGCCACGACACCATAGGATCTACCTAGGTGTCTTTCCTTATCGCTTAGTTTACCTACTTGAGCATTAAAGTCACCGGCCACTATTACTACATCCGAGCGCTTAGCTTTTCGGAGAAGGTCCGAAAGCTTTCTGTAAAACTCATCTTTTACATCATCTGAGCTGCAGTCAGTGGGAGAATAGGCAGAGACGACGAAGAGGCAACGACGAGTGTCCCTATCTTTCCGGATTCTTACTGTTCCGTTCAGTCGGACAGCGCACAAACGACTGTCTACTGGGATCCACTCTAAGAGAGCTAGTTCTGCCCTAGGATTAAATGCTATACCTACGCCGGCGAGGCCACGGGAAGCGGAATCAGGGCTTCCAGATACACGAAGCGTAAATCGAGTCGGTTCTTTATTTTGGCATGGTGAGGTCAAATGAATGACGCTACTCGGATCTTGTATGCGCGTTTCGGAGACGCAGCACACATCGATGGCGCGAGATTCTAAAGTCCTAGCTAAGGAAGCCTGCTGTCCTATTTGGCACAGTGTTCGTACGTTAAAAGCTCCTACGTGTAGTTTAGAGCGTGGTTTCAGGAGACCAGGAATGGCGTTCCACGTACTCGAATCGTTTGCCCTAGCGGTGCGAGGTGATAAAGAGACGTGAGGAGGGTTAGTCGGGAGGATAATAGAGGTATTAGGAGGTGTAGGAAGGATTTGAATGTGACCACCTTGGTCTCTTGTGCTGTTACGGGTATGAGGGCTGATGTCACTTCCCGGCTGCCCACACCGTGGAAGGGTATTTCTTGAGGAACCTGAAAAGGAAATTGGATTAGGGTTGGTCTTGACGATCTGGGAGCGTGACCGCAGAGCCCAAGGGACAACTGCTTGAGGCCGGTCGCGCACGGCCTTTTTGTGGAAGGTTTTTGACGTGTTAGCTCCGTTCTTCAAGGGACCTTACCGCCGGAGACGGAAATCCGTGAGGTAAGGTGAGGTGTGCATTTTTAGGGTCGACCTTTTCTAACCCCACCCCTCCTTGTGGGAAGGCAGCATCGCTAAAGATGCTGGTTGTCCGAGGGAAACACCTTACTGCTGTCACACCTCTCTACAGTCAGCAGTACGACTTCGCCCTCAGACCTTGAGTTGCTGCTTTTAGTCTTACCGTTCGCCAATCGACCTGCCTGGCATGGTAGAACCTGCAGGAACATATGTTCCAGCCAGTATAGCTCGGTTGGGTCATCACGATAGGCAAGCCCGACCACCGCGTCAAGGTAGCAGCTTCGATCGGGACTCATGACCAATCGTTAATGGTATTTGAAAGAAATTTTTACCAGTTTTTATTGTCCCAATTATAATAAAACTATGGTAATAGAAAAAAAAGTAACACAAGGTATGGGCTAGCATAAAATTGAATTGGTTGACATTGAGATAACAAATAGTCAATGGTTGATAGATATTATGTTGAAACCATCAGTACGTGATCCAATAAAAACAAAAAAACGCGATGTAGAAAGTTTGTAACTGTCCAAAAGTAATTATAATAGAACACACAACATCAACATGATATTTATTCATTTACATCACTAAAAGTTTACAATTCCGAAAGTAACCATAATAACAGTTTAAAAGTAATGATTTAAATTATTCTGTCATTAATCTGATTAAAGGTGAACTTTTCCTTATTCCAATAATCAAAAAATCAGATTAAAACTTTCTTGAGAAACTGATGAAAATAAGCAATTATTCAGATCGAAACTTATGACGATCTTGTGTCTACTTCACACTTTCAATCTATATATTTGCATATTATTTGTCAACATTCCCATATTTCAACGTGCTCAACTTCAATACGACCCTTATCAAAGAAATTCGATCAATATTCTATTGACATTATGAACCGATCAATGTTGGACCACGATTGTAAAATTGAAAGCAATGTACGACTCTTTCATTCTAGTACGAGACTCCTTAGCACTTCGCATCCTTGATTCGGCACATGTGACTGAATATGCAGGTGGTTTACTGTGATGGATGTTGATGGCTTCAACTGTTAACAGTGGGTAGGTAGACCCATATTTTTCATATAATGATAATAATAATTTATATTCCGAAAGTAATAATTACAGAATTCACGCCAGCTTACAGGCATGATCAATTTGATATAAATAGTAACATTAGATGTACAGAACAAACATGTGATAGAAGAAAGTTTTAAGTATACTAGTTCAGTAATTGTTTAGGTAGTACATGTATTACAACGATTCAATGCATCAGACAGGAATTTTTAATATTTTTGTAAATGAACAGCTTGTTGATTTATGAACGGAGTAATTAAGGTCATTTCGTGTGCCAGATCGAATTAATGATAATTATCTACAACTAGAGAAATTAAAACGAAAACAGAGAGCACGGAACAAAAAAGCAGTAATAACCAAAATATATCAATCAGATCTACCTAAATGCGTGTGTCATGTGACACAGTGATATACTGTTGATGTTATTCAAATTAGTTAAACTTCCTGGGGACGGTGTTAACATAAAGTGACAGCAAGTAGGTGGTTTTACTGAGGGAATACACTAATGAAAATGGCTAAACATTTAAAGTTCCTACAATGTCATTTCTGCAATGAAATACATTTACGGGTGTTAGAACATTCAATGCATTATCAGAGGAGCAGTATGCATCGATGCAGCGAACAAATAATGGGAGTGATTTTATCGTACGGATAGATTGTGGTAGGTTATTCCAGAGTTTAGAAAATTTACAGGTAAAGTAATCCATATAGAGAGATGATTTAGAATAAGTTTTTTTTCACTAGTGACAGGGAATTACGGATGTCATAATGAGAAGTTTCTGTATATTGAATCACTTGATTGGATGTAAAGGATAGTTTATTAAGTAGTTTGGAGAAAAAGATAAGATTAAGTTCGAGGTTACTCTTCCATAAAGGGTCGGGCCCAAGTTTATTACATCTAGAATTATAAGTTAAGGTACAGTCAGCTTCAAGAATACGAAGTGTAAATCGTTTCTGTACTGATTCCAGCCTTAATTTATCTTTTATGCTGAGAATAAACGTGTAATATTCTAGGAGAGGTTGAACACAAACCTTGTACATTAAAATACGTGAATCATTGTTATAAAGGTTTTGAGTTATATAACCTACAAGACGTTGAGACTTAGAGGTCTGCTTCAATATCTGTTCTGTAAACGACAAGTCTTGGGAGTATCTAAGTCCTAAGTCTACTACTGTATGTAACCTAGATAACACTTCTCTATTTATGGTAAGGTCTAGGTTGAGTGATGTATCGCCGAAGCATATCCATCCACATTTAGCCGTATTAAGCTCCAGTTGCCATTTTAAGCACCACTTTGCTACCTTGTTGAGCTCCATGCTGATGCAATTTTGCATATTTTTCAGCTCATGTGGGGAAAATGAATATACTACTTTAGGATCATCTGCATATAGAAGGGGCTTGCGCACACAAAAACTTTCACAAATATCATTGACCCATATCGCTTTAAGTATAAATTCTAAAGCTATTTATGAGTTATAAACTAGGATTCAACGATATTCAAACAATATAAATTAGATACCGTGTTATGTGTACCAAGTGAGGAATTAAAATGCATTTACTACTCTCATTTATGCTTTCTTTAGTCATAAAACTAGTGTTGGAACTCTTTATAAACTCTATTCATTGATAAACAAAGACCACCTTAACTAAGAAGAATTGGTCTATAAAGACGCATATCTATTTGGTGCCCTCCTATACCAATGTTTATGTGTTTAAATAAAATAAACCAGAAAAATAAATCTAATCCAAAAGGTGTAACTGGTATCACATGAAAACGATGCTACGTATTAACGATAGCATATCAATTTCAATCAATATGAAAGCGGTTAGTGTTTGCAATTATGTTAATTTCAAATTTGGGTGGAAGCTGGATTAAATAAACCTACAAAATCCCTTACACCAAACATCTGTCTGAAGGACAAAAAAAATAATAGAGTAACAAAGATACGGAGTTTCATCACTGACTACTTCAGAGGATTAAAGATGTTTCTAAATATATGTTATTATGGAACAACAACTTAGTTCTTTTAACATATATAAACCATAAAAGTAATCTTAAAGCATCAGCTTACTTTAGATACACATTTATTTGCCTGTTACTCTTTCAAATATAATGCTTATCACCAATAATATGACTCATATACTCTATTTAAAACATTAATTTGTAAACATTTTCAGTCCATATAATCAGTAATCTAGTGAAACGGGTTCTGTATATAGTTCATCACAGAGAAATCATCCAACCCCCATGATGACAACTTGAAATATCCTAACGGATGTCTGCAAAATAATTAACGCTTATAAACTACTAATTCATAAACATGTTCAAACGCTTCCCCAACCATGGACAACGTCAAATCCAATCAATCACTAGTAATCTTAACTACAACATGACCTAATCTCATTAACGTACATACAACATTTCTTAGTCGAATATAATTGTCGTCATTATTTCTATTCACATATCTTTGTATAATAATAATAATTATTATTATTTTAATATCGATTTCTATGCATTGGTTGTTTGAATCTTCCCATTGATGTTTAGGACTGTAATTTATCAGTTTCTTTTGGCACATATGTATCCCGTGACGATCACCACGATATTTACACCGAGTCACAAACGTTCTCAATTATCATTGGTTCAACATCTCTACTACTCTCACAAACAAATGATTCATATACTCACCACTCACCCCACTTTATTAGTCTTCATCGAATTCATACAACTTTATACACAATATACACTAAACATTTGGTCCGATTCGTAATTGCATCAATATTTCTCTCACCCACATTTATTCTCATCATTAATTTCACAATTTCATTTAAAATTCAATATTGGTCACCTCAATATTAACAACTTTATGTTATTCTACTATCCGACATTCACATGCTATAACTTTAAACCAAATACTTTACCTAAAATTCGGTCACCTTTTTGGATTACTAATTTAGACATATATAATTGTAGAACCTGCAAAGGATCTATTGAAAACAATATTCTTCGTTCATATATTAGTGTTTTAATATGATGGGGATTAAAATCGATAAACTAAATGACCCAACACTTTTAAATTTACGAAGAGCAGACCACCTTTTGCATCCTATAAATTCGACCATATTTCACTTACTTTAGTTCTGTAATGAATTAATCACACATTAAATAATTCAGTCCTAACGAACGAAACGGATCTTAATATCCAGGGTGGCATGGATCAGTCACCTGGAAACTGGATGTACATACATCATGTTGGTGAGTCCCGATAAACAGAAAATCTTGGTAACAATAGCATTCCTTCAACTTTCGACAGTTATTCAAGACCTCTATAAACAACTACAATCATAACAAAATTAGCAGGGAACAAAAAATTAAGCACCACATATCTCAATATATATATTGTAAAAACTTTCAGCATATCAAACAATTCGAAATAAATGTGACTCATAGCAATTGCTTACTGTTCCATAAATTAATAAATAAAATGTAATTTAAGGCCAAATATACTCTGATAGTAGCATAACAACAATCTGGAAAAATATCATTATATTAAATACAAATACTATGAAAGTAGTAATAATAATAATATGGATGAATTAGAAAGACAAGATTTAATTGGCGAAAGGTTCTCTTCCTGCTAAGTACTGTTATTGGGCTAAATTATTTTTTTCAAATCCTTTTGTATCGTATAATTTCTAAGAAACAACGATTGTATTATGGAGAGTTTTCTCATTGGTCGATCGATTACCGCCCTCACCATTAATAGGAACAGCCGTGGCACCAACGTCAATCACTGAAAGAGATCTATCCATACTCAATGTAACAACTGTTGTAGGAGTCTGATAAGGCAAAAAAACAAGAGTATGAAATAAACAAATAAACATAAAACAAAAGTTATTTGGGGGAAAACGAAAGAGAATCAAACAGTTCGTTGTTTATAGTAGAGACGATTTGAAGCTGAGGGAGTCAGTGTAGTCTAGATTAAAATAGCTATCGACTATCGGTTTAGTGATTTGTTGTGCTATATATATCTATCTCATTAAATGATCATATAATTCCATCTTAGCGACTAAGTAGCGTTTCAATTTCACTTGATTCTTAGAAGAATTGTGAATGAACAATCCTGAAGATTCCTATCATAGAATGGAGTAAGTGTATAGTACTTCTTGATTTCCAATGGTTCTCCATCTGATGTTAATCCGTGATGAAAAATAACTACATACTGATCTTTATCCTCTGAACTAGCTACTTTTATATATGAAGCTTTCAATCTCATTCTCGGCAATATCAGTACACAGTTTAAAGAGCAAAGGCATTGTTCTATGTTATTTAAAAAGTGTCAGAACACATAAACATAGAAAAAGTGTCAGTAACAACAAGCAAACACATCCCAAGGTTTCAGAATGGAATAATTCGGAAATTGTAACATAATTTTAGAATAGCGTACTTCTACTTAGAGTCCAGGGTGCACAAACTCCAACGGAGAGTGATCGGATGCACTCCTCAATATCAACAATCAGGAAATATATAAACTCATATAAAATAATCTCATACTATCAGTTATTCAAAGCTAGGTAAACGTATAACTGTCACTTAAGATGCAACGATCATACTGCGCAAAAATTATTCTATTAAGAATACCCAGTCACAACTAAGACTGGCAGAACAGACTACTAACAAAATCAAGGAAAAAAGCTTCACATAACAGTTTTCGTTGAAGAATTTGTGCCAACAACAATGAACGCATTAACATTGAAAACAAACTGAAAGAGGGAATGTTATTTCTTCCTATCCAAACAAAGACAGAGAAATGAAAAGCCATAGAAAAACCGAAATCTAAATACGTTCATCAAATGATATTCAAGCGAAAAAGATATAATCCTTGAGAAAACAGACAAAATTATACTATCCAAATGCATACATGATCAACATACCCTTCTTGAACGCCATACATGAATAAATCCGAACCAAATCTAAATATATTAACAAAAATAAATAAAGTAATTTACACTTGAGAATAAATATTATAGAATCTAAAACAAAAGCAAATATGTATTAAAACTGGAAATAGATATAAATATCACTTAGAATTTATTAGATAATACACAATGTAATAGTTAATCAATTAATAATTTCAACAATAGGAACGTTTTAAAAGAATGCCAACTTTTATATTTCAAGTCAAAGTTTAAGCAAATAGTCCAATTCTGAATGTGCTAGTCAAAGTATCTAGTACTAGAGAAAATTAGAAACCTCTTTTCCTGTCATTATCAGTTATTCTGTAGTTTACATTATCCAATGATAATGTTCTTGTACGGGTTAGATAGCTCAATTGTGGATCATATACCATCGTTTAGGACAAAATCATCAGTGACTTCTACCAGAGATTTGTGCTGATGATGTTGTTCAAAAGAACAATAAAAGCTGCCCGACCAAAATATCCATCTCAGAGAACTAAACTACATCTAAATTAAAACCGCGTTTCCTAATAGCATTATCCGCAAAAACTTCGAAAAACAGAAACCAAGTACATAAGAATACAACTATTATTATTTATCAATCATTATGCTGAATTGAATTTTTAAAACAGAATAATACACGATAGAACTTACCAAGTAAAATACAAACCCTAAATAACATGCGAATAATAATCCCATGCCTATATATACTGCCCAATGATGCGGTAGACGTGCTTTAATTACAACACTACCCAAGAATAGATTAATTGACACAACTGCTATGGATATTAAATTAGCAACAATTGAAACCGGACTATAAAGAAGGCAGTAGAAGAAGAAAGAGAAACAATTATAGACATTGAAATGCAAAACACAAACCATTGGTTATATTATGCAAGAAAATGTAGTAAAATTTCAATGAACAGTAAAAAGATGCATGAATGTGACAATTATAAATCATATTGTGAAAAAAAACTAAAAAGATTGATTAGCATGCTTTTATGAAGAAAAATTAATGACAAATATTTACAAACAACAAATAACTACATAATAACTGCGATAGGTGACGATGTTCGCGGTGAGGAAATATGACTTAAAACTACAAATGTTAACATTATATATATATATATATATATATATATATATATATATATATATAATCCGTCATCTACATCTCGTATAAGGATCCAAATACATTTTTAAGGTTTTCCATATTGTTCATAGAGTCAGGTACTCAGGGTTAAGGTTAGGAGTTTACGGTTAGTGTTTCCATTGCGAACTGACATTAGCTACAGTGCAAAAATGCTTTGTAGCCCTACAGATCAATAAATTTCCCGTAAACATTTAAGAGGAGCTACCTTAATTCTGATTAATTCATCCAAAAACTCGGAGTAAGTCAACAAAGGCAAATACTAGACAATTTTAGATCACTATTTGTTGAAGTATAAAAAGATGTATCAAATCAAACTGTTGATAGCTACATGATAGAAAAGCTGATATTCAGTACTAATCAATATCTGCATGTCAAAGAATCTACTGTACCACGTTATACTGGCAACATTTATTAACGCAAGTTTTCCTCCTATTCAGGAGTAAACAAGAAACTGTACATTTTAATTGTTCGCAGTGACAAGCAATCATTTTAAACTTTTAACAAAATTTGCTCGTTTTGATAAAAATAGACCAGTGAAGGAGGGGAGATGAAAATGTTATTTCATTTGATTCAATATATTACCAAAATCATTATTATAACAGAATAATGGAAAATGAGTTTAATCATTTAGTAAAGATTATAATAAAACTCAGTTACAAATTATCCAGAATGTAAAATAGTTATATGTAGTAGCATGCATTGTTCACCCCTACCTTTTTGTAAACATACGAAAAGGTTAGTTTATGCTTTAAAAGTAACAGAAAATAGGCATATATTCTCTTTAAACAAGAAAATCGGAAGGCAATAATTGTACAAAAAATAGATTTCATATTCTTAAAAATGTGTAGTCGTTCCAATATATAAGCGGACTAAGATTGTCGAGACCTTATTTCACAAAATGTATGTAAAATCAGCCTTATCTCTTGCGAAACACTGCCCCAGCTGTTCAAATACATTTCTCATATCTCAGTCCCCAATGTAAGAAGCAGCCTTTAAAATCCTCAAAGGTCAGATTCTTTATTTGTCTTATCGTTTCACACTTTATTATCTATCACTTGCTCTGTGATTTCAGCTTGATGTCCGCTTTTGGTTAGATGTCAACAACTTTAAGACTATTTCTAAACATAATTTCTCATCTCTGTGTAATCTACTAGAATGGTATTCACAGATATTTGTTCCATAATTCGGTTCGAAATAAGCAACTGGAAAGCAAAAAGACCAAATATATTTTGTGTTTTCATTAGCATGCCCTCTTCAAAACTAATCGCCTTGGTAGTTCAGTTCGTGTATTTACTGGATAGAATATCTATAAACTATCAGAAATGAAGAGTTTACAAATATCCTGACATCTTATACTCGCTTTTTATGGTGATTGTATTTTTCAAAAAGGGATAAATATGGAATCAAGGAAGACTTACTTAAACCTTATCATCAAACAGAAACTACAACTCAATAGTGAGATTATCAACAAAATTCTAACACAGGGCTTAGTTCAGTGAACGTCAGAGGCTGATCTACTCAGTCAGAAAACGGGGATAACCAAACCTCCATAACAAACAGAATATATTATAGTAGTTATTTGCTTTTAGGTTTGAATTATCTAGGACGGAATCAATAGTATTAGCTTAACTGTCGCTTTTCGTTTGGTTTCATAAGAAAATATAAATTTCTACTATCTGGTTAGTTTAGATTTACAATAAAATATTCATGATCATTTACCAACTCGAAATGGTGGTATAAATGTTTAAGCGTATATTTTCAACCGCTTAGCTTAATATATGGGCCCAGTTACAAGCAGTTGTTCAGTTTAAACATCCAGATGGTAGGATTGAGTATTATACAATACATGGTTTTAAAAGGAGAATGCATAACAGACACCAGTTTGATACAGGAGTACTGAATCATCTATGAACACGTTGCTCCGAAAAAGTCTTCCTTTGAAATAATCTATACAATCAAAGGAACCGGATCGAAGAGCGGTCGAATCAAAATCGTATCCAGTGTTGAGACGTTAGTGATCCATGTATTCAATCCCAAACGCCGCGTACAAAAACGATAAATCCAACCTCTCATCCTTCCATGGCCTTATTTCTCTTCTCCTGTATGTTTTGGTCTTATTTCGTCTCATAATTTTTTTACAGTTATTATAATCCTTTACCGATCTTTCATGATTATTCAGTTGTTATTATAACCTTAACGTCTCTCAATATTCTTCATATCTGTCAAATGGACAATATTCTATCATATTTCTGATCGGAAGATTATTTTCATCCTCTTATTCTTCTCTAACCCTTCCATCATTACGCGACCTCCTTTTGATATTTAAAATCTCGTATCACTTCATGATGTAACCTCATCTATTTTCCCATATAATTGTATATTTATTAAACGACTATAAATACAAAGATAGAGCTTGAGTATATGATTTGATCGAAATTTTCTTCACTGAATTTTCGTTACTTTCAGACTACATTTATTTAACTATAACTCATTGTATGTAAGTGTCATACATCTTAAACAAAGAACAACGTGCTAGAGTTATTATGTTCTCAGAGCTAATCGGCTTAACTGTGAAGCTTTTATTGTCCCTCTGGATAACATTGTCAACACATACATTATGGAAAAATACATATAAGATAACAAAGATTCAAGTTCTTTTTGTTAAAAAAAAGTAAAGTAACTTACAGAGAATTTTTAAATTCAGCCATAACTGATCTACTACTAGTGAATGTTAACAATGGAATAACAGCAAATGGCAGTTGAACACTCATTAGTACATTTAAGAAATCATTCATTCCAGTTAAATCTTCAATGCCTGTTCCATAGATAATATATACATATATGTATGGTATAAGTAACAAACTACTCATAGATAGATGAATTAAACAATCATCATAAAATATAAATTATTTTATCATCATGTTTGCCGATAGACTAAATCATACGAATGGTGCTGATAAGTTCACGGTTTCTTTTGATGTAACATCCTTGTTCACCAATAAACTACTTTTTGAAACTATTGATATAATTTGTCAGAATTTATGATCATCTACCTTCACCAGCCCCAGAATTGAAAAAAACTGCTATGTAAAATCAGTGAAAGAAGAGTGACTTATTCCATATTGGCTAATCAATGAGTAATAACAACCGTTAACAATACATAAAAGTGTAATGTGGCTTTAAGTTTTAGTAGCTTGACACTGTGTACATTGTACTTTAACATCAGGTAGCTGGAGATAGTCAACAGCAAAACCTTGGACCTAGGTTTCGTGTGATTTGGCACCTGTCAGCAAGATATATCTATAACCTTGAGAGAACGAATGATCCCTCAAGAATTGAGGAATTACACAAATATGACATTCTCCACTACTCAGTGATTACTCAGATTTAAATATTTTAGTCGTACAAGAGACTAGTAAGATAATAGTGTGAATTGTAAATAATATAAGACTAGGTGGCTAGGATAGATAGTCCAAGTAGGATGTATGGTAAGGCCTTCTTTTCTATTGAGAGCAGTAGGATTAGGCAATATATGGAACGCTTCAGCAACTCTTCTTTCTTTGTAATTGGAAAAACCTTTTTGTAATATTTTGACGTTTTTGAAATCGATTTGGTGGTGGTTGAAAATGGCGTGAACTGCTATTGACGATTTAATTTGAGGTCTATCCAGTTCTACGGGATTATTAGGTTTCTTTGTGTACCTAATATGTTCTTTGGCACGAGTCAAGATTTCGCGAGATGACTCTTCAATATAGAAGGCATCACAATCGACACAACTTAATTTGTAGACGCAGTTCTGTGTTGACATGAATGAGTTTGTTTTTCTTTTAAGCGAACTAAAGTATTTCGAAGTGTGTTCATTGGTTTGTAATATACTTTAATTCTGTGTTGTTTTAAGATTCTTTGGAGTCCTTCTGTTGTGCTATGACGGTACGGTAAAACTGCAGTACTAATTCATGGTACTTCATTCGAATTATTATTATCACACAATGAAACGTCAGAAGTTATTAAATTGTGAGATGCGAATTACATTCTTTTGTTCTTTTTGTATATTCTCTTCTGATGTGATAATCTTCTTAGCTCTTCTAAAAAGATTTAGGGCTAGTGAGATCTTTGTACTGAAAGGATGTGCTGAATTAAAGCCAATATAACGATTAAAGTATGTAGGTTTTCGGTAGATGGATAGATTTAGAATTCCATTTAGATTTCTTTTCACTAAGCAATCTAAAAATGGTAGCTCACGATGTTCATTTTCATTCTCGTCCGTGAATTTGATGTGAGATGAAAGTGTATTGATCCGTTTCGAAAACCATCTTAGATTAGTTTTTTTATAACAACAAATGTATCATCTACATATCTAAGCCAAATTAGCGGTTTAACGTCGTTGGCGAAAATATTTGATTCTATGTGTGCCATAGACAGGTTGTCTACAATCAGGGACACGAAGGATTCCATTGCTACACCGTTAGTTTGTTTGTATAACGTCCCGTTAAGGGTGAATAGAGTAGAATAGAAGCAGAGTTTTAAAGATTTCATGATTAGACTGATGATTAAAGGACATCTGTCAGAAAGAGTATTGTTGTTCTCTAGTAAACCACTGGTGAATTCAAAGTATTTATCAATAGGAATACTAGTGTACAAAGAAACAACATCAAAGCTTACCACAACTTCATTCTTTTTGGTAATTAATTCCGCTAATTCTGATTCCAAGTCATATGAATCTTTAATCATATTATGTAAGTTAAGCTGTAGTAGCCTTAATATTTTGCTTAGATATTTCGATAATGCATATGTTTGTGTGTTGGTGAAGTCTACTAAAGGGTCTTAGAGGGATATCTGGTTTATAAATTTCAGATAAACCATAAAACCGTGAAGTATTACATGATCCGGGATACAGAGCAAATCTAGAATTTTAACTATAGTTATTTAGTTAAGTAATATAATAATAGGAAATAGATTGTATCTACTTTTTCAACTAAATATTAAAACTACCAAGATTAAAATACGACTTAACCAAACAAAAGTACAAATCAACATAAATGGCACTAGAGATATTATGAAAAAGAATATGTAAAGTTGTTTTTGGCTTCTTGAAATATTCTACTTATCAACAATACACTTCGATAAGCTTACTTGTAATTTTTAACAAAGTCTAATCTATGAAAGCTAGTTGAAAGGAAACCGGTGTGAATAAAGACCTTGTATTGAACATTTTACATAATCTACATTAAAAATTAAAATTACGGGCGATTCCGAATGCATGCATAAAAAAGTACTTCACGAACATATATATAAATTACCTCGAAAAACAGTCGTTAAAATCGTGGGCAAAATAGCTATAGAACGCGTTATTAACACTCGTTGCCAGCGTTTCCATTTTAAGTTTAAAAAACCTTCCATAGCAAACTGTCCAGAATATGTCCCAGTCATTGTAGACGACTGCCCAGCAGCCAATAAACCGATAGCCCAAATGAAAAGACAGGCGAGACCAAACTCACAACCTAGAAATATTCCCTTGATGATAAGATTGGTTTAGAAATAAATCACAAAAGAATATTCATTATGATTAAGGTAGAGAATAGTAAGTAAACTAAATATTTATAATTATAATGGGAGAAAACAGATAAATTAGTTAAGTAAGCGAAGAAAATGTTTAAAGCATCAATTATTTAACATCTTATATACCAAACAGTCTGTACTTTAACGTTTATCTAAATCACTTATCGTTATTATAAACAGTTACTATTTCATGAAAAGTTCCTGTTGGATACTAACTGTTCAAAATCGTAATTTAAAGGAGTAGAAAATTCGTAAAATGGATTTCCCCAATTATAAATTTTAATCCATAATGTAGTAATATTGCACATACCCATGCAAGTTAATCTACGTTAGCTAGAAAGTTTTGCGCTGAAAACTAAGTTGACTAAATAATAAATACAATCAATATTAGTAGTAGATACTGACTACCAATAAAATAACCAATTACACTGTCAATCGGTGCTTTCATTAATTGGGATCGAGTTGTTTTAACCTCACGAAGACCAATTTGAATGATTATAGAACTACTTATTCCAACCATTAGGTTTAATTTCTTTATCAAAGTAACCAATCAGAAAATAAGTATACACATATATGACTATAAAAATAGGAAATCAATATTATTCCTGTAATGACATGTTGAAATATGAAACTAATGTGTATTTTATTATGCAATCAGAATATTTACAAAACTCAACAATTTCATGAATCTACTAATCAAACAGTGAAATACATAACCGTAGTATTAATAGTAGTAACTCATAATATACTATCAATGTAACCATGAAATTGACTGTTGAACTAATGTGATGTAACCAGAGTACTATTCTCTACTTGCTATGTAAATCGGTAGTAATATTCATCTATAAAAGTAAATATAATTTCAGTAAGAATAACCTGTAAATCTATAGTTGAAGCTCAACTGATTTTTTTAAACAGCTAAATAGATTGAATCAACGTGTTGCATTAGATGTATTCTATCTTCTTTATTCAACAAATAAATTAACGTGGTAAAAAGAATTATTGGATTGCTTAGATCGGAGTGAGTGAACTAGATTTCAACTTATTGTTACTGACCTGCGTAAACAGAAACACTTATTCATAAAAATATGAACCATCGAGATCTGTTCACCTAACTCAAAACACGTTTTCATTTTTCAACCACAATAATACAACGCTAATGTCACCACGTTTGCAAAACTCAATCTGACTAAAAGTCCTTCAAACCCAAATACAAATAGCCATTCCGATTCAAAATCCAAAACTATGTGTACAAAAGATATATGTTCAACCGCTTCCCCAACCATGGACAACGTCAAATCCAATCAATTACTAGTAATCTTAACTACAGCATGACCTAATCTTACTAACGTACATACAACATTTCTTAGTGGAATATAATTTCATTTAAAATTCAATATTGGTCACCTCAACATTAACAACTTTATGTTATTCTACTATCCGACATTCACATGCTATAACTTTAAACCACATACTTCACCTAAAATCCGGTCACCTTTTTGGATTACTAATTTAGACATATATAATTGTAGAACCTGCAGAGGACCTATTGTAAACAATATTCTTCGTTCATATATTAGTGAGATGGGGATTTTTATGCATTTAAATGAGAATAATAAAGTCAGTTTACAAAGTCACTTTCTGACCACAATAAAAGCGATCAACTTTGTTTACTCAACACACCTATTACGGAACTGATGATATAAAATGTTTAAAAAGATAAGTTGTCTCAATTTAAATATTCAATGAATAGAAAGTTTAATCAAATATAAACCTTTTTCATAACATAATCCAAAGCAACTAATTGAATACAATCTGATACACGAAATTATACTTATAGTCTAAGTCAGTCAGCTACAACGTACGACCAGGCACATATGTGCATTGGTCCAGGTTGCCATACCGCATCAGCACAACAAGATGAACACCGGATTCATAGCAGTGGTTAGGTCAAAGGTAGTAATATATAAGAGAAAGATTGCATATAGAGATATAGTACAAGAAGAAAGAATTGGTTCGTAGAAAGAAAGATATGAAGCGATTTTAATCTCTTAGTTTAAGGGAAGACAGGGAGTGTATACACCGACGCCATTGTGATCGATTCTAAGCCTAAGTATTAATCATGCCTACCTAGTTCCCCAAAAATGACTGTGTGAAGAATTTCTAAACAGCTCAATAATTAGATTTAGATTTAGAGGTTAGTAGTAGAATAAGGAATACGCGTTTCTTACAAAATGTGACTTGTTAATTGGATATGCTTGGTTCTTAAATGCCCGTCTCCGATCACATAGTTGAAAGTTGAGTATAAACTATTAAAATCCCTAGAACAATGCGTTTTACATATTGTTCTACAAGATCTCCCCTTACACTGATTCCTGTTACAGTATATAACAATATAATCATAAGTGAAGTAATTGTTAGTACAGTAACTCAACTTACTCCTGTGTACAAATCAACACTGTTTGGATCAAAACTAGAAGCCTGGAAAAAAATGAAATAAAGTAAATTTGTAAACTACTGTAGATTATAGTGTAACTCGAACGCATGCCAAAATCAAAAAATCAACATCAACATTAATAACGTTAATACACAACTACACATACCGTCTCTGCCAAAAATCATTACTTGACATAAAACTGATTAGAAAACTACGAACGACAAGAGTTTAGTGAAAGACAATTACATGTTATCGACTAAGATATTCAAAATCGGTTAAACAAGAGTCGCACACCGTGGGGCTCAATCACCGCCTACCTCAACGTGTGATGTTTGCCTATCCGAGAGTAGGATGGAAAAAGGTTGGGGGAGATCAATCCAAAACGTCACACCAGTTCGTGAAGTGAATGACTGTTGAAATCAGCCATGTCAACAGATGCATACATCCTGGTTAGAGTTCGTCCAATTATTGTTATCAATGGCTAGAGACGTTGGATGATACGGTCAAAATTCGCCGCAGTGGCATAGATGCATTCACCCACGATCTTTCCTTCAATACAAAGTTCCACAATTATCTTTTTCATTCTGTAAACTCATTCCTCCTCAAATTATATCGTTTATGTTTAATCCTTTATACTACCACTGATACTATAACTATTTATACTACTCTGGAGTTTCTCATGGTAGTTTCATTTCGATGTTCTAATATGATGTCACAATTTGAACCGATACACATACGTGCTAGGTTCTACATTGAGTATGAGTAACTTTTTACATTGCGAGGTCGTAGATTATAAATAAAGATTTGAAGTAATACAACTTGGAATCAAATTTAATAGCGTAAATTCGTTACCTTTATCTAAATTTTGAGCTAAGTATTACCTAATTTATCTTAGCATTTGATTTCCTTAAGTTATTTTGGAGCTCACTTTTCTATTACCGAAGACATTACTTTTTTCCTATGTTTTTCATCCCTTAATTTTTCTGTCTCAGAGTAGTGAAGCAACATAGATCGACAAACATTTATGTTCTGTTGAAGATTGTTTACCTTTGACTGATTGATGTGATTGGACAATAAACAACTATTCATAAACCACAGGTCACTATTAACATTCTTACGGGGGGGGGGTGAATTTTGTTATAAAGCCTGTTATATCGTTAAACGCATATCATAATACAGAGCTCAAGAATTCAGTTTACTGATGTACGCAAATGACACTAATATTGATAACAAAAACGGCAGACTTATAAAGAAATTACACTAAATCGACAATAAAATATGAGTGTTTAATATCATATGTATTTGAGTTGCGGATGTTAGATAGACGATTTAATACAATGTTAAATACGAAAGCTCAATATAGAAGTTAGACAAAATTAATCTTTATTGTTTGCATAGTATAATTTTTATGGAGATTATTAAATTCTCTCAGTTTGCATCACGGATAGATCTTAGTTAAACGATTAAAAATCAGAAAGCATTTGAAAAACGTTTCGTCCTAGTATGGGATTCCTCGGCAGTGGATATCCACAGCCTAATAGCCAAGAATTGAATCCATGACCTTTATTCTCACTAATGAACACTTAAACTCTAAACCACTGAGCTGGAATATAATTTATACAACTCTAAGCCCAATCGATTCGCAATATTGTGTGACCACAATCCATTGCCTGATGTGGATAACTGTCTTGCACTGGAGATGGTCGAACCATACTAGCGACGGCTCTTCTTATGAATATGATCCTCCATACCAGTACACTCTAAATATCTGTAACTTACTGTAAAACATATTCTAGTACCAGAAATGCGCAAGTTTCACCTTTATTTCAAATAAACTTTTGGCAACCTGATCAAACCTAAGGCTCACTAATCTCATCAACTGCACAAATATCAAAATGAATGTTAATATTTTAGAGTTGCTTCGAGTGACTGGTTAACCGGATATACCAGCTTACAATATATCACGAAGTTAGTTAATGCGAAATGTATGCGGAACTACACAGTGATTAGAACATCATTTTATTGTCTGCCGTCTGGAGAAATGAGAGGCAGTCACAATGCTATTCATCCATCAAATATATTATACGGCAAAAAGCAACTTTATGTGAGTAAAACTGGTTAAACATGTTTGCGAATAAAGAAAAGTGATAGCTTGTTACCACTGAAGACTATATCTACATACATGATAAGTATACATACAACCGGGGTTTACTATAATATTGGACAGCTTGTACTAAAAATCCTTAATTGTGATCAAATAAACAGTGCCACATACAGCGATTATTACTATTATTATCTCAAAAAGAAAAGCGCTTATTTATGATCACAATTATATTAAAATCTATTCTCGTCATATGAATACTTAATCGAGTGAAATCTGAAGACTTCTTAACAAACACACATACGAACACAGCGTTGAGGGGTTATACATTAGCACATCAAACAATATAAACCAGACGATTAGAAAAAACAGTGAAACAATTAGCATACAAAGTTGTTTTTATAGTTAGTTTAAACTGAATGTATGTCAAAGTGGAAAAACGCAAAATATATACACATATCGATTACTAATTACAATCACGGCTAATGATCAACTTGATAAAATATCGAACGACTCAATAAAGTGGAAATACGAAACTTTTAATAGATTTTAGGGCAGTTCATTAAATGTTTGCTAATATCGAATACTGTTTCTACTCAATAAGTTTTAATACACCCTATAAGTAATAATATATTACTTAAGCTTCTAGAAATTAATAATATTTCCTTCTGATCCTTTATTTGGATTTGCAATTCCTATCATATTCACAGAATTCTATGTATTTCACTACAAATAAGATGTAACTTATAGTCAAGTGTAGCACAAAACCTTACGTTTTGATGACTAGATTTACGCGTCCTGAAAATAATTCACAGTACTGAGTTCTAATTAAAAATCCGAAGCTTTATTGTTGTATATTTAATTTGGCTTAGAACTTGAATACGCAAATAACTTTGACAATGCCGGTAACGAGATGTATAGAGATCACAAAAAAACAAGACAAATTAAACGAAACAGAATATCAAAATCCTTTATTTCCTTCGTTTAAGGTGAACTCAATTATGTTTGCAAACTATCACTTTCATAATGACAAACTCTGTAAGAGGTTATTAAAAATCAGACATGCACCAGATGACCTTTAAGGACCCGGACGAAAGTGGTGAGACGCCTGGATTTCAATCTAAAAGCGTAACTACTGATGCTGCAATGATAAACCAATATACCAACAAAGATTTGACGATGCAAATGAACTTAAAACAGGAATTTGTCAGATCATTACTTACAACGGTTGGACTGCCTGAGATTAAAATTCTTAAATTCTATGGAATACTTCTCAAATTTTGAACGTTCATGAAACGATTTAAGGTTAATATCGCAGACGGGGATGGTAACGACGCTCAATGACTTATGCACCTATTATACTACTATAAAGAACTTGCTAATTAAGCAACAGAGCATTATGTTTTTGTTGGGATATTCAGGGAAATGTTTCAAAAATTATTCTGTTAGGTCTAACGCTATCCTTGGACTTAAAATGGTGTTATTTTCTTATTGGTCAATATTTATTTCACGTGTCGTTTTCCTACTGGTCAATACTATACAATGTTGTTTTCTATTTTATGGTACGATGTGGTCTGCCTGATTGGTAATATAAACAGAGTATGTTTGAGATACAATGATTCATATCTCAGAGGCTGAGACTTGCGTTCTGGACTCAACTGGCTGGGCTAAACAGGGAAGTGGGACCAATCAGAACTCTAGGTCGTTCTTACGTGTTTACGCGTCTTTGGTCCGATCGATAAATTCGCCCGCTACCCTCTAATCAGCAGCATCTCACATTATAACAGTTTTATTGCCAGAAAATGAGTACATCAAAGTCATGAATACTTGCATAACCAGTTTGGCAGGCCGTATGATACTCTAAGGCATTTCTTGCTGAGCTGTTAATCTATCCATCATTAGAGAAGGACAACGTAACAGAATTAAAGAGCTTGATATGAGAAGTGACTAACCGTAAGATAACTTTGTCGTACATCAAACGAGATGCGAAATACTAACTATGGATAAATAAGTCCGTGATAGTATTGCATGCTAAAGTACAATCTTAGATCGCGAAAATAACATGTTTACACAATAAATAAATTAACATATTCCTAATATCCCAATGAGTAGAAAAATTAAATTTTCTGATGTTTCGTGACTCAATGTAAGCCACTTCTTCAGAGAATAAATAATTATTATTATAAATGATATTATAAATATATTAATTTATTAATAACAATCTACACAATGTTCAATTTATTCGAAATCATCAAGTCAAACCTTGGTAATGATACCTAAGTTTACTCAATTCCTCCTATCTCAGCATTTAGCATGAAATTTCGTTATGTTTATTAAAGGAATAATCAATCAATATCTCACAAGAAACATTATTATTATTATTTTCAGAATTTAATATCTATTGAAGTACTTAAAATTTCTAAACAATTCATAATCAACCTATTCATGATAAAGTATTAAAGGTTAACAATTATCTATGTCGGTAGGAAGAAAACAGTTACTAACTAACTGAACAATAAATATAATTCATCTACTTTAAATCATCATTAATTGATTACTTCGCCTATATTAAAAGATGACAGAATAACATATAGGCCATACAAACAAAAAAGCAATATACATAGAAAATTCTTGTACTAACTAAAATTAACTGAGAAAATTATCAATATTAAAATTCATCATAAATGAATAACTTTATTGACTGATAATTTCTGATTACTTTGCTTAATGACGCAACACCTATTCTATTTAGTACTTGTTAAACTTTCGATAACTTTAATTACTCTCAAATAACACCTTTCCGTCTATGAATTTATAGACAATACTTGAAATCTGTTGATAATGTTTGTGACTAATTTGTTAAATTACGCAACATCACTCCATTTCTGTTGACTTTTATAATCGATATTTGAATGAATTTTAACACTCTTCTATTTCACAGGTTGAAATCATGAGTCAGTTGAAGCTAGACCACCATTGAAAACCTGGAATAACGAATATAAAAAATTACCTATAAATAGATCGTACAACGTAAGGAAATGGTATTGAAAACATTTTTCCTTGATGAGACGCCTTCATTCTTTGCAGTCTGCACCATTCAACATATGATTTGTTAAGTTAACCAAGATAATCAAGTGAAATGACACAAAGGTATCACCATCTACTGTGTGATTTTGTAAATTTTTCATTAACTGATGATATTAAATGTAAGCTGACAAAGAAATTAACATCACATTATCGATGAAAAATTGACCAAATATAGACAAATATCAACGGGTGTTAGATTTAAAAAGTAGGATACAACGCGGTTAACAAGTTATGATGCATTTACACATAAACTGATTATGAAATGCAAGGCCATTACAGAGGGTTTAAAAAAAAGAATTAGATATAAACTATAGAAGCAATATGTCGTTGAAAAAATCAGTAACGAATATTATATGTGAAAATTATATTTGAAATAATCACAGCGATTAAAATTTAAATTTTTTGATCTTGATTTCGATAAGTACCCTGAAGAAGTCCAGACAGGCTTGCTGGACAAAACGTTTGAATTGTTTAGATTTCAATCGCTGAGATTATTCCCAACATAATATTCACATACAATGACTTTGCCATAATCGGCGCTCAAATTTTGTCAAACTATTCGTCCTAATATTGACGAATATGTGTATAAATCAGTAACAAATAGTTAGACGATTGCCAAAAAATTGCAAAAAATGATGTTGACTAATTTCATACACATAGTTCTCTTTATTATCTTAAAGAGAGAAAGAACGAAGATTGGTGCAGCATTATATGAATTCATTTTATTTCATTAGGTTCTCATCAGCTGCTTACAACATAAATATTTTAAAATCAACGTTATTACAGATATCGACATACTTATACATAAGAGGGTAACTAAAGATGAATATATGTATCACGATGTAGTGAAGATTTCAATAGGGCTAATAAGGTTATAAAAATTTTTGTTTCGGATAAATAAAGTTTGAGAGGGAAAGTTCCAGAACATTGAAATAGTGATTAGAACTCATGGAATTAACAAACATTAGACGATTGAGTAATGAAGCAAATGAAAATAGATTAATGGTAATAAAGAAAGATATGAATTGCTATCAGTCAGTTATGAATTAAAGAAAAATGACAATGATGTAATTTAAACTTCAGAAAGAGTTGAAATAATGAATGACGTGATAAATAAAAAAGGAGGGTTTAATATTACCAGGGCAAAGATTTATTACTGCCTCTTTTTGGATACATAGATCTGCTTCTAGAAGTTTGATTGTTATCGCTTCGGCAAATTTCAAAAAGCCGGGGCTTGATTGTTTGTTAATCACCTTGAAGGACTTCAGTGTATCGACTTCGTGTCCTGTGTCAAGGAGATGTCTTGCGATGGCACTGTTGAATGCCTCTAATCCATTTGATCATAAACTTTTCGGAATATATTCTTTGAATCGGGTGTAGGCTTTCTTTTCTGTTCTATCAATGTAACTGCCTTGGCAGATACTTGTAAATTTGTATACATAGTTGATGGTAACATGAAAGGGATACCCATAGAACTTTGATTGTGTCAAAGAATATGTTGTTTTGGACAGGACAATCAGTTAAGCTGCAGGATAAGTTCTTTTCAACGCAGTTTCTAGTCCCATATTGATTGATCCTGTGACATCACCTTTGAATTTAAGTTGAATAAAAATAGGCTTTTTATTTGCTGTAGTTTCTTTGAGTTTTTTTATCTTCACGTTTTCCATATTTCTCAATAAATTTCAGTAGGTATCCTTTGTTCTTTAAACATTTTTTAACATTCTTAACTTCTTCTAGTGTATCGGCAGAAAATATTATTTCTGTTCTGTGAAAGTGTTTTGACAAGTGCCTTTTTGTAATTGATTGGACAAAAGCTATTGAAATTGAAATAAACACCATTCCATGTGTCTTTCTTATAAACTGAGCATTTAACTATGCCATCCTTTCCTCACTTCATTGAGATATGCTGTAAGCAGCTGATGAGAACCTAATGAAATAAAATGAATTCAGATTATTCTGCGCCAATCTTCGTTCTTGCTCTCTTTTAGAAAGACTCAGTACGCACTCGTATTAAATATCTTCAATTGATATTTAACTTTCAGGCAATCAACTTGAGACTTTGAGTTAAAATAATTCCTTTTCAAACATTTCAGTATATTATTCTTCAGGATTTTACAAAAGTCATCAAAAGAAGCGGATATCTCTAAACCATTAGATATTTTAATATCCGTTATTTATACTAAATTCATCTCAACAACATTGCATTAAAAGCTATAAACTTGGGAATATAACAATAATGTAATTGATAAACAAAAAACTTACAGCATTTGTAAAACGAACAGGAATTTTGCCTTCAAGTGTGCAATTCTCAATCTAAAAAAGCATACCAGAAATTAAGAACAGGCAGAGTAACTTTGTCAAAGATAAATGGGGTTCATTAACTTAAACAATGGTAAAGTGATAAGTTGAAACAATCTAATTGTTATTAGGCGACTTTTAGGGAAAAAATCTTTAGTTTTACTTATTATTACTGAATAAGGTTGTACATATTTATTGAATATTTAGATATAGTAAACAATGGTTACGTTACTTTACAAGTCCGAATGATACTAACTTGTTAAACAATATAATACCAAGCACACTTAAATCTCACTAAAAAAACTTATCATAATTCATAAATATTATGATGAATAAAAGAATGATTATTGCTATATTTGCCATGATCGAAATGTTATACATAACTTTCCAATGAAAGTCAGACCCAACTGTAGACGGTAATTCGACATGATGGTCAAACCTGTTCATTGAAAACGGCCCAACTAAACTACATTGATTTTAATATTTGTCTACTGAGGTCCTACCATGCCGCGCAAATCAGCTAGATGGATGTAAGACCACAATTGTCAAGTTTCATGTTACATGGTGAAATCGTTTTGTAAACTGTATAAGGATACGGCAACATTATGGGGTTTTTAACGAATAAGCAACCGTTTCAGTAACACAAACTTTTTACAGACAAAGTGGTTTATAAAAGGTCAGGCCTAAAGAATAGTATAACTTAATTTGTCCCACAGATTTTTAGAGCACCAGTTAGGTTTGAAAATAATGAAGTTAGTATGATAAGTACTACTCCTAAAAAGGCCGTATGAAACTGGCCTCAAATTGTTGTTGGTCGGGAACGTTGGTGAAATCATCAATACATTGATGGCTATGCCAAAAACAAAATGTTAAATCAGTGATATATATATAAGGAAAATATTCAAACAAAATATAACCTACCACTTGTTTAACATTTTTACCATAGAACCCAGCACCAAATACTGATACAACAAATATATTTATCATAAGAGAAACGAATAATGCAATGGTTGATTCAATGAAGTAATACATGTTCGCTTCACGAACCTAAAAACAACCTCCCCCACAAGAGAATAAAAACACATTTTTAAACAAAAACATGACACTAGCAACGAGAAATTAGAAATTAACTTTCTATGTATAACTAGAAAAATAATGAACAAAGCGTATAAATATAAACTCGACACACAAGAAAAAGTTAAACGTGAAAAAGGGTCACACAAACGAACATCTACTCCTATGACAGATACACACCAAATGGATGGTGTCTTATTTTGATACTCATTAGCATTATAATCACGAAAATCATAAAATATATCCCTATCTTATGACTGATTTACTGTTGTTGTTGTTGCTCTAGGTATATTTGTTTTAATTAATACCTCGATGGCTAAATGTTGTATAGAAATCAATGAAATTGTGATGATTTCTAAAATTTACAATTCAAGTGAAGTAAACTTTTTAACCTTATCACGTTCAAATGAAAAATAGAATGCTCCTGGAACTATCAACCTAAGTGTTAGCCTCATACTTTAAATGAACAGAAAAAAAGTTAGTACATACTGACTAAATGTACAACTGCATCGGTGAGAATAATTAAGATGACAAACATTGATTTACCTCGATCTCTTCATATACACTAACATTAATTTACATTACCTGAACTTTAAATGTTTCAATACAAAGTACTCCAATACAAGCTTGAAATATAGAATCTGTTCATCCTCGTATGTTGGAACATCGAAATCGAAAGGAAAAATCTAATGACTATGACCATTTTGGTGTATTTAACTTAAAGTAATTATTTGCACTATAAACAAGTTATAATTAAAAGATACCTATATGTTAATTCCGGTGAACTTAGCAATTCGTACCTTATAATAATTGATAACTTACAATTCCCTATGCTATTACCTGATTTAAAAACAAAGTACTGAATATTTACACGCTTAGTTCTCAATCACTTAATATTATTTCTGCAATTCTGAGATTATCGTCTCACTCGCACCATCCATCCACCCCATAAATAAAACTATAGCAGTATTTTAAAACAGCACATAATATTGACCCTATTGGTGAAATAGTATTTTTCGAACTCTAAACTCTAATATTTGATACCGTTAAAATCAAAGTCTACTTACTAATTCACATTTGCTAAAAATATTAATGTTTAACATTTATTCATACAACCTATGGTATTATCATTTATTGACAATAATATAAATAAATAGGCCATTAAGTACACTATCCAAAAAAATTACGTTGAATGTGATATGAAACAAATTGCTGAAACGTTGCATAATAATGAAATACGAATTTTTAAAAATAATAAATTATACAGATCAAATAGAAATGTTACTTAGACGAATTTCATTCGACTCAAAATTACACTTTATTATTTGTCGGGGAAACAATCTTCTATATTGAATGATGTATTGGTAACACTTCAAACAACTAAATTACAGGAACCATAGAATCTAATCTAGCAAGTAGAAATATTTATATCCTTCATTTAGAAGCATCACATAACTGACTGATCACTTATCCGCTTTCCTACTGAGTCTTAACATAGAAAACTTGGTACAGGAGATTCACTACATTTCATGTGAAACAGGACGAAATTAATGAAGTCCGTGTTTGAAGACTGCACCAAATAATTGATAGTTTCTACTGTGGTCGAAGAAATGTCAGATTTTATCACCAATTGTTCAGTTACGCCTCAAATCCAAGCAATCTGTCTAAGACAATGTTAATCAGAAACAGAGAGGAGCCGAACATTCTCAATTCGGAGACCAGGTTTTACAGGCACAGAGCAGTACTACTGTCACCGTGTTATGCACCCGAACTTTTACAATCGAACGGAAATCATGACTGTATCTAAGTTTACCCGAACCGGCATGAACTATCCTACTTCTCAAGCATACGCAACTTGGCTCTATCTCCTACTCTATCTTACTAACTCCCAGATATTTTAGAGAAATCTTGGATATCAATGTTGAGCATAGGTAATTAATGAGCAAGTTTGTTTTCTATTGTTGCTCAAGAGAACAAATTCATAACCGAAATTACTGAGAAATGGGAATACAATGCTACCAAAAACCCAAGCATCTCTATTGTAAATCACCAGCGGACAAACCAAAAACAGAATCAGATGTCAATGCCTACCATCTTATTGATATTGGACACGATTTCTACATTCAGAAATCCTTCAAAACAATCAATGTGCACGTCACGAAGTCATTATTATCAAAATACCTAAACTGGATTTCTCTATTTAAAAGAACACTAATATCAGTCTTAGATTGCCCTACTGACTTTAGTTTACAGCAGTCAGTCAGTAAGCTACAACATGGGACCACGCACATATATGCAACGGTTCAAGTTGCCATACCTCATTAACACAACAAGATGGACACCGAACTCATAAAAGTAGTTAATTCAGAGGTGGTAATATATAAAAGAAAGATTGCAATAAGGATATAGTATAGGAAGAAAGAATTAGTTCATAGAAAGAAAGATATGAAGCGATTTTAATCTCCTAGTTTAAGGGAAGACAGAGAGTGTATACACCGACGCCATTGTGATCGATTCTAAGCCATGTCACCAAGAGTCTCCAATCATTGGTGACAGCAGCACTTAATTGCGTAACATCTTACTTCACCCCTTCAATTATCAATTCTTTTTTATCGTTACTACATCTTACCTGAGTTATACTCTCCTAGTCAACTTAACTTTTCAAGTCATTAGTACATAACTTTTGTCACTAACTTATCAATTCTAAAACCCTGACTTCATACGTTTCAAAATTTCCTTCCAGACTATTAACACCAGTTAACATATAAATAATCAATTATATAAACAGTTCTTATAATTTTGATACATTTATTGCATAAATTTATTCTCCTTCATTAATGACGAGTTTTCTGTTAATAAGATATATAGTAAATATTTTTTTAAAGAATTAATACTGTTATTTCTAGATTATAAGCAGCTGAATAAAATCCATGAAATAATTGAATTCAGATTATTCCGATAAGATTGCTGTTCTTAAAAGCAGCTGATATAAAAATACTATCGGTTATCATAGAAATTAATTTGAAAATGCCTTGTTGAAAAGTACACATATAGATTAAGTAAATATAATCATTCGACAAACCACACAGTATTAACAATATATGTTTAATGAAACATAAACCATAGAGAAAATTAAGAACATACCAAAAATGGATTACTTCGATCTATATCACGTGATTTAACAAGAGCAGAATGTAAGTAAAAATTATGAGGCATTACAACAGCACCGAGGATACCAACAGCTTGTTCCAATTCAGGCCAACCACAACCAGGACAAGAAGGCACAAATAATCCGCGTAAAAGAGATATTTGATCGGGTTTTACAACAATATACTAAATGGAAAAAAATTAAATATGGAAATTATGTAGTTATTTTAATGACATGATTCTGTGAGTAAATAATTAAGACAAAAGCAGCCATTACGGGTAAGAAAACCTCTTAGGTCAATTAATCACAATTAACGTAGTTTGGTACATACATGTATCAGGCAAAGTTTCCACGAGGCATCAGCAATTATCAAGATGAATACCAAAGTAGTAGAAGTATCAGTGACAGTAAAGAACATCATAATACTGAATACACAAATGGATAGAATAGTAAGAGATAATGTTTTCCTCTGTTCACCTATACATCAGTAATTCTCACTACAGATAACTGAATCCTATCCTTTCTAATCAGATTGTTTCGATTCGTCTATAAATGTACGACATAGGTTATCGGATTTTCATTATAAGACGGAAACCTTTGTGAAAGATTTTATTTCCATTGAAGTTAATTAATTTTCGTAAGAATTTTAGAAATCTTTGTAACAAAATAATGATTTATTTGTGACATCCCAACGAATAGAAATTAGAATTTTTAATATTTCGTGAAATCATGTAAACTATTTCTTCAGAACAAAAATAAATCTTATCTTCATATCTATTGTCTTTTATGTATAGATGAGTGTTCGTCTAAACATTGGAGAAAGTTCAAATAGAAAAACCTCAGTAGAGGATAGTATTTTTCTTTTTTTGACATTTCATACATCGTGATCCCTTGATTAATTTAAATAAAGCGATAAGAACAAGATATGTATAATAACATGAATTCATTACATTTCAATTCCAAATGGTCTAAATTTACACTAGTAACGCTACCATATATCAATAAAGTTTAGTTAGAAACAAAAAGAAGAAACAACATATTTAACATAATAATATATGTTAAAGATGAAATCTCAAAAAGATGAAAGTGAAATTATTAATGATACTAAATACATAAATGAATAAAAGGAATTGTTTACATTCCTAGTAGATCAGTACAATAAATGAATCCCCAAGGTTTCAAATTTGTTTCAAATGGACTTAGTGTATAATTTTAAATTAGGAAATAATAGTTAGACAAAAACTTTGACTATTATATCAAATTAACAAGTGAAAATTTTGATTATGAAATAGTTTAAACCATTAATGGTTGTATAAAATGAAAATATCCTATTTTTACTAAGATATATTCATCAAAGTGTTTTGTTTTTATTTACATTGACTGTTTATATGTTTCTGTTAACTATACTGTATTGTTCTTTTTTGTTTTCCAATCTGTTTACATTTATTCCTTTCAACTAAATAGGACAAAGTAGAAATTGTATTACGCTATTGATCTTTCGGTAGGTTTGTTTTAAAGAAGTTCTAATCTGATATGCCCACTAACTTTATTATTATCATTATTATAAGAAATTTCGCTACAAAACTTTATTTTTGGGGTATAAATCAAGTTTCTTTTTTCCTGTATTCGAAAAACAAAATTTTTTTGCGGAATTTTACTTGAAAAATATCTTTGGGAATTTTTTTTTAATATCATAAGAACAAATGATAATTAAAAATATTTAGATATAATATTAACTAACCTCATAACCAAATGTCACAGCCATAATAGTTATTAAAAGTCCAAAAAAGAACTCTAATTTACGTAAACCATATTTATCAAGAAATAAAAAAGTGAAAGTATCCAAAATAGTGATAAGTACACCAGCCCATAAAGGTATATAACCAAAACTTAATAAATTTATAGCTATAGCAGTACCAATCACCTCCTAGAATCAAACAAAACAAAAAAGGAGGAAAATGGTCACAAGAAACTGCTTTGCTAACAACAACGATTGAGATTAAAACATTTAAACATATTAATTTTTATATCAACTTTATGTTGAAAATTCGAAAACACAATCGTACCATTTAATTCATAGGGTTCAACAAATACATAAACACGATATACATATTGTAAATTAAGCTAAGAAATTGTATAGTCAAATTCTTACCGTTAGTCTTTAAAACAAAACTGAATGTTCAGACGTAGAAAGAGTAAACTAGGACTTTTGTGATTGATTTTGAATCATTTTATTCAGAATATCAATAGAGAGTCTATCGTTTTATGGATATAGCCAAGAGAACTACATTCCTATATCTTCTGAAAGCTCACATCAACAATTAAGTCTTGTGAAAAGCTTTCATTCAACCAACTATATTGAATACTACCCCCCCCCCCATCATCAGTAGTTTAGCATTTTGCCCAAATGTGTTTTTCATTACTGTGTGGACGGTCGACGGGTGAACTTGAGGAAGCTCTAAGAAGCTCAGAAAGAGCTGAAGACATTCCATCTAATCATTTTTTGGAAGAACATTTCAGAATATCTACGTGTAGCTTCCCCATTGGGAAAACGCTAAAAACCCTTTTATGCAGATTGGATGACTATAATGATGACATCGCTTTTACAAAAAAACTATAAATACACGAGAGTTTTGTACCACATTTGACAGTCACAAACTCGAAAACATATTCTTTATAACAGGGTTTAGGTATGAGCATGCAGTTGAAACTCAAATACCTAACCCGCTAAACAATCACTCTTTTGTCTCACTGAGCAGTATAAAAACCTAAACTTATGTATTTTTGAGTGTCAAGATGAACAATTTTTATAGAGATCTACAATCAAACACTTTTGAGTTTAGGTACTCGTTCAAGCAAATGACTAACCACTGTAGGTAGTGGACTGTTGCACAATAAGTGGAAAAATGATAATGACATGTTATACTGCAGAGAATTCTAATAAAATTCGTAACAAAATAAACAAAACTTACTTGCATATCTGACCCAATAATTGCAACCTCAACCATAATCCATAGTATAATACGTGCCGGTGTAGGATATTCATCATAGCATACTTCTGCTAAATGTCTACCTGACACTACACCCAAACGAGCAGCCAGACGTTGTAGAAATAATCCCATCAATGTAGCTAGGAGTAAAAGCCATAGAAGCTGAATGTCAGTTAGAAAAGAAAAACACGGTACTTAAAATGAACCCGCCAAATTTCTCACAATAAATATTGTTAACAAATAAGCTATGTTACGGTAAAACTTGAATTAACAAATTCAGACGTTTAGACTGGTAATTTGAAATTTATATATTTGAATCCTGTCAATGTTCAGATTTTCTTTCAACCACAAACATCATCCTTAGAAATAAAAAGGTAGTTCGCTAACCATCTAACATATATAATAATTATATCAGAGACTGCAGAAAAACGATGAGCTACCTGCAGTCTCGACTAAAATAACAAAAAATTATATAAAACAATAAGAAAGATTCGATTTTATAATACATGACTTTCGTGAAACATAAAATATTCTTGAACATATTAAAGAAGCAGTAAGTAAACAATCGCGACTAAACAGAGACAAACACTAATAAGTGTTAATAAAGGGTCTAGTTTCCGATAACAGTAACAGGAATAGAAACACGTCGTGCACATCATAGACAAAGATTAACGACCAATTACAAAGTACCAGCAAGCCTTTGATTCATTGTCAACTGAATCAAGGTAGACGTAGTAAAAATAAACCCTATGATCTAAGTACAGATTAAAGATAATCACATATTTAAAATAGTGAAAATTCCCGTTTTGACATTTGGCAAATAAAGAAGGAACGAATTGAGCGAAGTAATTTCCTTTCATGAAAAAATGTTTAAAAGTTGAGAAGCCACAGTTTCACCAAAAATAAGTCGAAATTTCAATATTTTATTGATTTTCCAAAAAGAACGGAACTTATTCGACATAAAGATGTAGCTTAAAGATGTTAGGATACTCAAGCGTCAATCAGTTTGTCAAAAAATGAGATCATATCACATACATTGAAAACTGAGAAACAGGACAGTATTATGATTCTTTACAAACAGACGAGCTACAGATCCCGTATACGTTCATGCAGTTGCTCAATTATTCCACTACCCACTGAATGCAGTAAGTGTCGATAACTTAAACTACAAGTTCAGGTACCTTGGGAGTGTCAATAACCCCAATCTCTCTCAAACAACAGGAAAACAACTATCTACCACAATATATTCTCTAAGGATTTACAATAGGATTTGATTTCATAATGACAAATCATATTTAATTCTTTTTAAATAGCCTAGTTCAATAATAAGATCAATCAGAACAAATTTTATAAACATGGTAATAACCTACTCTATAATTAGCGATTGCACCACTTTGCAAATCTGACTCTATATTTCCAGGATCCAGATAGGCAATACTCATTAAGAATCCAGGACCTGTGAACGTCCATAATCGTTTAAAACTGAACACGTTTCTCTCCTTTAACAGAAAAGGCGGACACTATCATAATAAGAATTGAGACAAATATTAACATATTAAAGTGAAGGAAGAAATAATAGTAATGATGATAATGATGATGATTACAATAATGAACACAATTAAAAAATAACAGGAAAAATAATAAATATAATATTCATAGTTTGTTTTCACTAAGAATTGATAGGAATTGGAGCAGCAAAGCTTAAGATAATTATTTTTATTTTAATAATAATCATACAACTCACGTAATAAGTTTATGTGTTCAGATTTGAGCTATAGTGTTTACATTAGCGGGGTCAGTGAAACTGTGGTGTGTATCGGGAATTCGACGTAGAATTCACACTGACCGAAGAGGAAAATGAAAAAAGAGAAAGGAAAACGGAAAGCAATCGAAATAAGAACAGGAACGGAAGAACGATGTAGTTTGTGAAAGGGACAATTCAAGGAAGATGTGCAAATAGTGTATTTAATTTGTTTTTATATTTTACAAGAATACTGTGTAATTTTGCTTAATAAAGCTGATTTCCCCTGCCGAAGTCCCTAGTCATTACAATAGTACCTTGCTGACCAAACCAAATTAAGTAAAGCGGGGTGAAAATCTGCAACCTACTGGCTGAAAGTTGAATGCTTCAATTTCTAAAACAACACTTAGTTTAGAGCTAATAATCAATGTCTCTACCATCAACCCAACACCGGTGATTAAACCCGACAATCAGTGAAAAATATTAGTTACTACTTCTGACTCAGTTGACAATACAAAACAATATTTACCACCATATATTCAATAAAAAAAACTGTTTAATATTCATTGGTTGTTGTATAAGGGAGGGAGAGAAGTTTACTAACAATAAACCTAAATTGTGAAAAAAATGAAATGTTCCCCTACAGAACTTGAGCAAACTCATTTGGTTTAAAACGTGAGATGAAATAAAAGACCTAAAACTTTACTTTATACAAATTAACTAAAATTTACTTCAAGTAGAAATATTTAGTAGAACACACTTAAAGATAAAACACGGAACATAAACAAGCATGATTTACCTACCATCGTATAGATTTACCAACAGATTCGGTTATCAGGACATTGACAATATATACAATCTCAGGATGTTATCACGATGGGATGGCTATAGTAGCAATACTACACTTCCACGCCCTCTTGTCATATAAGTCTGAATGAATATCAATGTAATTTTACTGGCGCAAAATTACTCTAAAGATTTACTCAATTTTGTTTTCCGGATATACATTTATAGAATAAATATTACATAAAACACACAAAAATAACCTGATTGGTCACATACCACGTGAACAGTGTGCATGTCAAGCCATTTAATTAAGGCTAAATATGAACAAATTGTTCAACAGATATTTTAATCTCAACTAATCAACAATACAACTAAACCAACCAAAACAAAAATATAACAAAATGCAGAATAAATAGTCTAAATGAACAATAAGAGAAACGGATTTCAACTGTATGTATTACTTTGAATGGTTTGATTTTTGAGTATATTAAAATTTAATGACACGAATTTACTGCTGAGTGTTGTAGGTATATCACCCTCAAACATAGACCTAAATTTTATTCCGTAAAATAAGGTCTCATTAAAGTTAACAGTACTGTTAATCTACATAGCTTTGTTAGTTAGTGCAATGAAACTAGTACGTAACACTTTGAAAAGAACCTCATATATTAAAATAACTCTCAAATAAGCGTTAATTACATTTATAAATTGAATTATGTCTGAAAAATTATAAGATTTTTGAAAATGATTGGCAGGAGTTAATTATACTACCTTATACAGCTAAGGTAGTTAACAACAACTGTGTAATTTGAAAACCTCCATGTGTCTTCACTTTCAGCGGGTACTGTTAAAGATAGACCGGTGGTTTTAGACAAGACATCTAAATCTTCCGGTAAGGTTTTGAAATAATATCAAAATTAAAAGATCTGATAGCAAGAAACATAACAGAAATATGAACATTTTAAACCATCTAAAACCTGCACCACGATCTTACGCTGAGTTTACACAGACATTAGGAAAAGTTTATTTGAGTGACATTTATGCAGCATGAAATTATCGAATGAAAACTGAAATGCTACAAATTTCACCATTTTCATCAAAAAGGATATGAAATAAAAGTATATATTGACTTCTTTAATGTATACGTTTAGACATTTAGCTAAATATAAACCATATCTTTCCTAGATCGAAAACCATGAACAGGTGAAATAAACCTAATTAAATATACACGAAGCCTTAACCTGATCGCTCGGAGAACTCTACTTCAACTACTGGATAACAAAACTACCATAGACATGTAGGATTTTACGAACCCATCCAAACCATAGCCTCATTTACAAATAGCAGATGGATTTTAAAAAAGTACTATATTTGCAAAACAATATATAAAAGTCACCAAATTCTTTAATCAAAAGCAATAAGAACTATGCAGTTAATAGGTTAGATTTATTTAATTACAATTCATACCAGTATGACAACAGTCAAGATGCAAGTCGACCCCAGGAAAGTGCGCATTACAGGCTTAGCCGCAGGTTTCAACCGAAGTGTTGCTTTCATGGCAGAACATCGACCCAAGCCAGGTTGGAAAATAGACTAAAACTGCGTCACTAGCTTTCTCGTATATGCTTCAGGGTCATGTGGTTGTGATATCAGGTGGCATATGATATTCAATGGGACATCAGCTAATTTTAGCTGGTCGAACCAATCTAAACCAAGTAAATTTAGACCAGCTGGAGTTATAAAACATACCCTAGTAAACGATGAATCTCGGAAAGTAATTTTACATTCTAATTGTCTTAATAAGCGAAGGTAATTACAATATGCAGTACGAGGCAAGTACGAGCAAAAGTCTCCAGCAGAAATCCTGATGGGAAGAAAACTGAAAACGATTCACAGCCTAATGCATTCAAGTAATGCATCAACACCAGTACAGACAAAGTCTGTAAAGCAAGCCACGTACGAAGTGGGATGTCCTGTGTTTGCCCGTGACTACAGAGCAACCCGTGGTCCATGGATAGAAGCACGAGTGGTCAGAAGAGTAGGCCGTGTCATGTACGAATTAGAGTTAGGAGGCGAAAGATGGTCACGCCATCAGAATCAGATACGCAAACAGCTAGCCCCAGACCGCCCATCAACAGGAGTAACTCTCCCCCTTGACATCCTGCCTGATACCTTCAAATTGCCGGTAGCCCCATCACGAGAAAAAGCTCAAAAACAAGCCAATCTCCGTTCCAGAAGGTGGCCTCTCCAACACTGGTGAACAACAATCAAGATGCAGGTCGACCCCAGGAAAGTAGGTTATTAAAAAGGAGAGATGTGTTGATCAACAAGTCTTGATGAGGCGTAGAGAAGCACCCAGAAAATGCGAGTTCACTAAGCACATAAATCAAGCTTATTTATACAATGATAGAAACGCACTTGAATCGCCCATTTCGGTCCAAACTTTACGTGAAAGGATGGTAACATCTGATGCCGTATCAATCTGCAATCTAAACAAATGTCCATTAATATTAAGAGTAATGAATTTCCTCTCACCCCGGGGATGGGATTTGACAAGAAGATACTAGGCTCAACGAAGTGGTACAGGATTTAGGAACAGTCTTTTTGGTACTTCTGGATCGGTTTGGCTTCCTCTTAAGGCAAAACCCATCTTTATGACCGAAGACCTTAAACTTCCTGCATCGATGTTGCCTAAATGGATAGTTTCGTACATAGTGCCATGCACCACAGTGCCAGCAAGGAGCAGGGGGATTCGTTTTAGTCTGTCGGACTGAGCTGTGGTGGGACGGACTGGATGTAGCAGAGGCACATTTATCCTGGTTAAGTGTCTGTTGCACTACTCGTACTTCAGATCGACTAGACCCACCACTCTGAACCATAGTCGTGTCTCGTTGCAGATTAATGAGGCGTTGATATTCATTAGCCATGTCACTAAGGGTAAGTTTAGGATCTTGATCCGATCGATACAGTAACCGTGTTCTTATGTCACTGAAGTTTTGGGACTGGAGGCTGCAAATGAGGATGGGGGCTTTGAACTGGTCTTCAGACAAAGACTTCAACCGGAAGCGTTCGCATTCACGGTTGAGGATACCCACATGTGTAAGAAAATCATCGTCTTCGTTCATAATTAGTTTCAAACATCGATAACGAGTATTAAACAATGATGAGTTGTCGCCGAAATGTTGGCTTAATGTCTGGACTGTGTCTGAGAATGAGCGATCACGTGGGTTCAAGGGTAGGATCAAATTACAGTACCTGTCCAGTTCACTTGCATCCAACTTTCGAAGTAACAGTTTGTTGATAACTAATTTATCCAATGAGATACAAAAGCTAGGGGTGATCCCTGATTGCTAATAAGTAATATAGTCATGAAATAAGAAAACTAGCATGCACTATTGAGAGGTTCGTAAGTAGTACAAAACAGCTCTTTAATATTTCTTGGTATTAGAGTAGTTTCCAGCTAATATTAGTTCGAAATAACTGCGAATCCAATATTAAACTTTATTTCTCTCCAGAATAATGTAAAAATGAAATTTCATTATCTATTAGTTGGAAATGTTACTCTGACAATCCAATTCAGAATCAAAAGAGAGAACTAATGGTGGTGGTCTGATGTTTAGATTACTGAGCTAACTTTCACTCAAGTTACACATATTATTATCCGAATACATTATTTTCCATTGTTCTTCTTATGACTCCTACTATAGTTATTCCCAATTTTTAGACGGTCATTTTACTGATTCCTTTTTACCGAGTTATCGTTTAAGACAACGAGCATAACAGTTCACAACTCAAGCAAGAAATAATCTTTATTAGTTTAAATAGCAATACAAACTTTTCACACTAAAAGTACTAACAGATTCGATCAATGTTTGAAAATATGGGGACTATAGTAGCAATAATACAACCGATAGAGCAACAGATAAAATTAATTAGGAAAATTTCATGCAATTAGTTCCCTTTATGAATTTAAATAAAGCAAGAACAAATATTGATGCAGAATAGTATTCCTTTGTCATTCCAGTTATTTACATTCATTTATGTCAATTGTTTCACACTATTTCTTATCTCAATATAAAATTCTAATACATATATGGTTGTAAGCAGCTGACGAGAAACCTCGAAATATTATGAATTCATACTATTCTGCATCAATATTTGTTCTTGCTTTATTTAATTAGGAAAAGCTTTGTTGGTCTATCTACTCTATTGTTTGAAAAACAAACTCTGAAGCACAGTCGCTATGGAAGCAGTGGTCTAGTAATTAAAACATGGTTTCCGACCATTAGATCTCAGATCTGAACTCTACTCCATTACCATCTGAGTGACAGAGGATTACTAGCCTTTCAACAAAATGTATGAATCAAAGCCAAGTGCATAAATTTGAACCTGGTAGATGAGTCACATAATTTATTTGCAATCGATAATGGCTAAGAGGAAAAATTATATTTAGTAACGCCTTGAATGGTTCACGCCGTCTTTTAGATAGCTGAGGTACTAAATTAACAAAAAATTATTGATATTAAAGTAGGGCCACCAACAGACTGACCTTGATTCCTTCAGTAAGTGTTATAATATAGTGGTAGTGCTGTGAACGACCACCAATTGAGATAGTTATGAAATGCGTTACTTAAAGCAATGAATAACCCGAAGTGAAACAGTAGCCAGCATAGGATTACGTTGAAAACAAAAACATCTGATATCTGCTGGGCCACGAAATAAAATCTGTCCATGAAATTACTGCCTATTGTTCTGAACTGTGCAGAAAGATATAGAGTTCTTGGTTAAGCTGTGAGATAATCGTTATCTATGGTTGAAGACCTTAAGTGGCATGCCCGAATGTAGGTAGTAATGGAATAAAAGTATTCACTCTTTGAAGCCCACTCTAGATTTTGAGTTTCAATATTCTCCTATATTTTCCACTTCAACTACTTTTGATATTATTTTGACTGTGCAGCTTTTTATGCTGATTCTCTTTCATTATGGTGACGAAGTGTGGTAACATGAACCGACATGTATTTCTACCCAGCTTTAAGTTATTTATGAATAAATCATAGAACATAAATGACCTAACTTACCCCGGGGTCTATATTGACACCAATTTTTTGAAAATCATCTGAAGGTGAAGAATTTCGTGGTCTGCGACTTTGATGCGCTGAAATAAGTTGTACTGTCCTTGATTGATCATAAAGTAGTGGAGTTCTGCCTTCGTTTTCCTCTCCATCTGTTGAACAAATAATAATTAACTAAATAATAAACTTACCTAAACAGTGATGCATAATTAATAGCGTTACACACACTAATGGCCACAACAATGACTATGTGAACGGGTACGCTAAAATCAAAATATTCATATTCCCATGACCGAAACAAGGCAACATACTAAACAACGAAAATTCCGGGATAATTATAGGAATAATAACGGAATGAAGTGCATACATATAGCATACAACTTTCCTTGAGCCTAGCACACCCCAAGCAACACAAAAAGGGGAAATGAAGGGGAAAAAAGGGGAAATAAAGCGGACGAAGGGGGAAATAAAGAGGAAATGTCGCTTTTTCGCCTTTACGTCGGTTATTTAGGGGAAATGTCGCTTTATCCCCTTTACGTCGTGTATTTGGGGGAAATTTGTCGACAATTCTATGTAACGTACAGTATTTGAATGAACCGCTTGTGGAGCTTAATTTTTCATAAACTTCGACGAATTAAGGCACCGCTTAATAAAAAAACAAAACTATTGTCATAAAAACAAGGTACAAAATACGGAACCAGGCATTCGGTTCATACGCATATAGACTGACTTCGTTTGTTGTTTAGCTAAAGTGTTTCGACATGCTTGGGAGCCATCACAAAAAACTTACGTGATGCAGGTGAGTGACGTGCTCTCAGATTTTTATGTTCATTGTAATTAATTACATTGTTAGGCCAATACTAAGAGTTCTGTTGAAGTCAGTGAGAACGTTCGTAGACGTAGGGCCATTGTGAACTTGTCACGTTCCCTTGGTTGTCATAGATCCACTTATAACAGAAGGTGGAATAAAATGAGAGCTGCTTTTATGAAAAAATATGACTTTCTTTCGTTCAGTGAGTTTGCTAATGAAAGCACCTTAAAAGGTAACTGCTTTCAACAATGTTGTTTATTAAATTGATAGAAGTAAAGAGAGAAATCACTTGTAATGACAGTACTTCAACTATTACACCATCGACTAGCAACATCAATCAAGGACTTTCAGATAATAGTGGTATGTATACTAAATTCATACGTGAATATATATCTTATAGGATCTCCTGAAGTGAACCTGTGCTCTCCAAAGTTCGTGAATCGCAAAGAAATGATGAACGACTTGATGATGTATCTAATGTCAAATACATCTCTGAGCATAAGGGATGCTGATCGGGTTCTGTATGGTCTAAGATTTCTTATCCCGGACATACCGAAAAGCATCAGAGGTGTCCTAAAGACTTGTTCAAGTGTTCAACCAAAGTTCATCGGCAGTGGGGTTTACTACCATCTTGGATTGAAAACCAATCTGCTAATGATGTCTCCACTAAACAAGTAATTATGTTTAACAACAGTAAAATAACTTCATTTCAGCCTGATAATGCAGTAGTAGTGAACGGCCAGCCAAGTTTAGTCACTGATATAAAGGAGGATGGACTACTAAAATTTAGGACTTTCACTGACCCACGCAATTACTTTGAAGATCCTTTCCCATCTACTGATATTGGAATCTTTAGGTGCTCCGTAGTTAGCCATGAACACACATGGATCTCGGTTAAGGACATAGATTGTAAATGTATGACCATAAATTGTAGGAATTATCTAGTTTTAATCCCATTGCTGCATACTTGGCTGTAAATGCATTTTGTTTCACTAGTGTTTAATAAATGACGACAAATAATAATAATAACGACACTGTATTACAGTGCGAAAAAATTAGTTCGTAGAAAGAAAGGTATAAAGTAATTTTAATATCATGGTTTAAGGGAAAACAAAGAGTGCATAGACCTACCCGATTGTGATCGATTCTGAGTCATGTTACCCAGTCTCCAACCACCTATTATGATAGCCACGTGGCCAACATCCAAGTAGTCCACACCCATCAACATGGCTCAGACCAGAAGTTAGTGACTTGGTTTGGTCACCCCCAACTTACTTAAATCTGTCTCCAATACGAATCATCGTAGCCCACCATCGCAGTCATGGTTCGACATGCGTAACACCAACCATCTCAGTCGATGGAGATTCACAACCTACTTCCTTACTTACTCCTGTTACCCCTCGTTGAGGACCATAGGCCACCCACCAGCATTCGCCATCCAACCCTGTCCTGAGCAATCCTTTCCAGTTGTTATTCATCATTTTCATATCTGCTTCCATTTCCCGACGTGATGTGTTCTTTGACCTTCCTCTTTTACACTTCCCTTCAGGATTCCAAGTTAGGGCTTGCCTCGTGATGCAGTTTGATGATTTGTGTAATGTATGTCCTATCCATTTCCATCGCCTTTTCCTAATTTCCTCTTCAGTTGGAAGCTGGGTTTTCCTCTCCCACAGAAGGCTGTTGCTGATGGATCCGGTCAACGAATATTGGATATCTTGAGAAGACATTTGTTTACAAATACTAGTAAATTTTGATGATGGCTGTGGTAGTTCTTGAAGTCTCACTCCGTACAGGAGAACTGACTGTCTTGACGTTCGTATTGAAGATTCTCACTTTGATATTGGTTGAAAGTTGTTTCGAATTCCGAATGTTCTTCAAATGTAGGAATGCTGCCTTGCTTTGCCAATCCTCGCCTTTACGTCTGCATCTGAACCTCCTTGTTCATCGATGATGCTTCCCAGGTATGTGAAGGATTCTACACATTCCAGAGTTTCGCCATCAAGTGTGATTGGATTGTTGTTCTCTGTGTTGTGTTTGAGGACCTTGATTTTCCCCTTGTGTATGTTGAGGCCTACCGATGCAGAGACTGCTGCTACACTGGCTATCTTTATCGGTATTTGTTCGTGTGTATGTGATAGGAGGGCTTGGTCATCTGTGAAGTCCAAATCGTCTAGTTGATTCTCAGCTGTCGATTGTATGCCGTGTTTTCGCTCAGATGTCGAACTCATCATAATCAAGTCCACCACCAGAAGAAAGGGTATAGTAGATACCCATGTATGAATCCGGTCTTTACTTGGAATGTTTACGTTAGCTGTCCTCCATGCACGACTTCACAACCTCATCGACTAATTCACCATCATTACCTAACACCTCGCGTCTAACCTCACTATTACTTACCAGGTGGTCCCAACAGATGCGAGCAATATTTCTAAGGCATCTGTTGTCAAATACTAGTAGCTTACAAGTGTCTTCTACTCTTAATCTCCATGTTTCGCTGCCGTAAAGTAAGACAGAACTGACTGCCGCGGAGTATACTCGTCCTTTTATTGATAAACGAACTTGAAAATCACCAGAACATCGTCGGAAAATACGACGGGCTAGGCACCCACCTCCAATTCAGCCTAAATACCTTAATATGACCGACGGTGGGGATTTACCCTCCCTCTCAAAACGCTATCGTAGGCCGCGCGTATATAGCCACTGCTAAGTGAGTCCTATTCACTGCCAATGTTGTGTCTGGTACTATGTCAAGCCCACATTGGTTATTCCAGCTTCCGGATAGACTAGTTTATTCATTCTTCTTGAGTCACATTCTAACCTTGTCAAGTATTCGCTCAATAAACTTGACTGTTTTAATATGAGCGTGTGTGTATTGTTTATCCTACATATCACATGTCTGTAGAAATAAGTGAACATAAATATTGGTGCAAAGAGGCACTGAATACACATGTGCCAAACAAGTCGCTTGATTTGTGTGTGGGTTGTGATACTACCCGGGTGACCAAACCGAAGCAAGTGATTTTCTTAGTGGGCCACACCCGGAGCATTTTGAGAGGGAGGACGGGCCCACCCCACCCTCGGCCATACCAAGGCATTTGGGGGCAAGCACGAGGCCTCGCCGAGACTCGAACTAGGGTCACCAGATTTAAAGGCCAGAGTGCTAACCACTACACCACGAGGCCACACAAAATAGCAGCGCTTACCCACGACCCTGCTCGCGAGACCTGAACCCAGAGCCTTCAGTCTCGCGCGCAAATGCTTAACCTACTTGACCATCAAGATACAGACATAGACTGTTCCCCCATCTTTGCAGACTACATCTGTATTAGAAGTGATAGTTTTAGGTCGCAAGGGAGGCGGCATAATGTTACACGTTAGGGATCACCTTCGTATACAATCAATCATATCGAAGGCGCATGTTAGTGGTACATGTGAGGTAGCATATTGTGCAACTAAGTCTAGAAACGGGTTAGTGACTATAGGAGTAATATACCGCAGTCGGTGTTGTCTTGCCGACGACTTTATCATAAGACACATTTGTTCTTGGAGTAAGGCACAGTGTTGTCTCATCACTGGAGACTTTGTAACAGCTTAGGTTGGTTGGTTAAGAGTCGACCTCAAACAACCAAGCATATGCCATGGATGAATTGACGAAATATTGCTTCAATATATCATAAATACTTAGATCAAACCAGAAAAGAGTATTTGACACAACTGTACTTAATCCTCATAATCTACACAATTTTTTTCCTCCTTAACCGTATATTCTTTTCCGTTTTGTGGAGTACAATTATGCACCCTTGGTTACGTACCTGGTTATAAAAGGCGGTCGTCATAGGCCCAAGGTCATACATTTGATCGGGTTTGACAATGAGTCCAACTTCTAGCAAGTTTACACTTTTACATATATGCATTATAAAAAAGTATTTTTTGTTTTCATACCTTTTCGTACACAAGATAGCTACACTATGTCTATTTCCTTCCAGAATACCAATCCTTTCTGGAGGCCAATCGCTTACGTGGAACCGAACAATTATCAATTATATTTATGTATTTCCATTTTGTATCTTATTATTTTTATGCAGGCAGTGGAGCAGTTCTTCAGGTTTGATTGGTTTTCACCATTACCTTTGAAGTAGATTCTTCTTTACTTTTTACTTGAGGGCGACTCAAGAGGCAGGTGAGTAAACACCTGATAGCCGGTCTGAGCATGGAAAAATCGTACCTCACCAACATGGTGTTGGGTAGCCCGCTCGCGGCACTTCCTCAGATATTCTTACTCCACATTCTCACACTCTTTCTCTTGAAAGCACGCAGAAAACCGTCAGCGATAGTTGTAGAATAGATCACATGCTACAAAATAAGATGACAAGCTAGTAAATGAGGAGACATCCATGGACTATCGTTGACAGCTGACAGCGTTAGTCGTCACTGATTGTAAGTCAAATAGTGAGCGAGTTGAGAATTTTCCCTTGGGATGAGAAATAGAACTAAGGTGTTTTCGATAGATAGGTTAATCGAACAGACGTTCCTATGGAAGTCGATTCTAGGGGAAGCTAATGTAACAGCTTAGGTTGGTTGGTTGAGAGTCGACCCCAAACAACCAAGCATATGCCAAAACAGTACTGTTCAAGTATCCATTCACTTCCTTATTTTTTGTAAGCGTTATATTCCCTATTATCTTATATTGAATGTTGAGAGCCTTTGTTTGTCTGAACAGATAATCCCACGCTCCACTGTGACTGCGCGAAGATCGAAATAA